AAAAAAAAACGTTTATTAACGAGCTGCAGTTTTATTACATCATGCGCTGGCACAGATGCAGTATATTAACGCCAGGGGTCATCAATAAGGTGCAGATTTGGTCCTCAATTTGTGTTTCCAACACACTTTTTCACAGCGCGCATCACGCACTCCAACTCATCAAAAGTCAACAAATTCCACAAGCAACAACGACTTATCCAAGTGACCACTGCAGAACGCACGCGAGAGAGGAAGCGCAGATCGCGCGTCTTATAAGTGAGTGGGAATTTACCGAACGTGGCACTTGCGGGAGTTAACACTGTACGCAATACCCGCAACCTCACACCAAATTTCAGGCCGTGTAGATAGGCAAGCATAGCCTATATACAAATCATTTAGTAAGCAGAAATCCGAAATTTACCTTAACATATTAAGTTAGAGGAAGATGCGACTGAATTGATGCTTGAAGAATGCGCTTCCAGCAGCCATGATAAACAGTTGGCGGTTAAAGTTTTCTATGCACAATTTGATTTGACGAAAGTCACGAGACCTATTACTATCTACCCAATCGATGGATAAAAATAAAATTTAAATAAGCATGTAACGACAACAAACAGAGGAAAATAGCAGAGTAAAAGTACCGATACATCACTTAAAATGTACTCAAGTAAAAGTAAAAGTACACAATTTTTAAACTACTCAAAAAAGTACAATTACTGATAAAAACTACTTAATTACTGTAACGTGAGTATTTGTAATTCGTTACTTCACACCCCTGTTGGCATTTAACAATAAACAACAATGTTTTAAAACGTGTCTCTCTGTCAGTTAAAAAGCAACAATATATGTACATAATAACTCAACAATAGAGCTTTGTATGCAGTAAAATCAGGATAAATAAGCTTTGTAAACAAACAAAAAAAAAAAACGCGGTAAAACCATATATCGCGCTATTGAGCCACCCATAATAACCGCAAGGGAAATTTCCTAACCGCGACAGCCCTAGTTTTAAGTGTGCGCACACTCTCTGGGCAGCATATCTGAGAGCGTGCGTCCTGGTTTGTGCAAGAGCAAAGGAAATCCGTGTGCAAGTGGAGAGATTCGCACTCACACATCATATCATATTAATGTACTTTCGGGCTACAACAGTGCGCTCTCAACATTTGTCAGTAAATTAACGCCATACTACATATGTTTTCTTCATTGTAAGACGTCAGAGAGTGACGCAACCGGAAACTGTAACGCGTTTCTCGTGAGCACGCGGAAGTTTCTCGTGAGCACGCAAAACTTTTCTCGTGAGCATGCGATAGTCTGTGTATTTTTTATTTTTGCTAAGGTCCCTTTAGGGGCTCCGTATTTATAACACCCAAACTGCAAAAGGAATTATGCAAAACACGGTGCAAATATGACCAAAAATCTATGAGGAGCACAATTTGCACTGCACAAATTGGGATTAGCCTATGAATTAGATTTATAGCAACCAGCTGAAAGTTTGACAACCTTACAGTCTAAAAGGTAGACATGCAATGATATAAAAATTCTGGCCAATACTGACAAGATGACAATTATTAGTGATGCAGTAGAATTTTTAACAACCAAACATATTCAGATGAAGAAAAATAAATCTTCCGTTTCAGCCAAAATCATTGACAGAACTTGACACATTTTGACTGTTATTGTCTATTTTGTGCACACAATGTGAATAAGCTACAACACGTAACCATGTCAGAAGTGTGGACTCGTTTCACTGTGACCAAAAATTATGCTAGAGTAGTAGTAATACGGAAAATTTGTTCAAATGAAATAACTGTTTAATTTATCACCTGAGAACACAACACCCTGAAGAGTTCAATTATTCAAATTTAATTACAGAAACTTGGTTTTGGTTTTTGGCTAAATTAAAATGTTTATTTTGGTTTAGGCGTTTAGATAAAAAAATATAAAACAAAATTGGTGTATGCATATATATATATATATATATATATATATGTATATGTATATGTGTGTGTGTGTGTGTGTGTGTGTGTGTGTGCAGGAAATGAGCATGCACTACTAATGTCACAATGTACAGTAACACAAGTATTGAGTTTGGCATACGTCACCAGAGAAAAGTCTGTAGTGTATCCAAAAGGTCAAGTTTTCACATTTTGATTAAAAATTAAGCGTTAAAAATAAATAAATAAGTAAAATACAAAAATAAAAACATGCATGGATTTAGATGCATTTAGAAACAGATAATTTCTACTTTTTTTCAACTTTTTTTTTTCCATTTCATGTCAACTTTAAATACAATTTAAAAATGTAATATCAGCCAATAATTACCAATAATGGTACAGCACTACTATCGTACTTTCCTACTTACAACAAGTCCCATCAAATACCATATGTCTGTAGCATTATACTTGACATAAATATATGGGATGTAATCTTCCAATAAACCCCAGGTACCCTCGAGCCTAGCAGCACCCCAGCCCCACGTGAATTCATCTTGTCAGAAGATGATGGACAGATGGGGGTGACCAGGCTGGCACTATTGATTTTGTAATTTGAAACGTCGCACCAACATTTCTGAGCACTGTCACGCAGCTCCACCATGCTGGCTGGTTAATTTACACAGGCCAGGCCAGACCAGAAAGAGGGGGGGGGGGCAAACAGAGACAGACGCAAAGACAGAGACATGCTCATTCATCTCATACATGCCTGCTGAACGGGTGAATTAAACCCTTTGAGCAAAACAGGACATGACATGTCCAGGTCATCTTGTTGAGCCGCCCAGTCGCAGTGATGTAATTTTTTCCATCCACTCACTTCATGACTTTCTGCTTCTCACTTCTGGTTAGCATGCTGTGCTACGGAATAGCAGAGTTGTGCGCTACATGCTGCTTCATAGATTTATTAGGTGATGGAAGAGAGTGAATCTTTTGACAGTTTTACGGCAAGACCTGCCAGCACACTCGACCTGATAGCTAGCCTTGAGCAATTCGGATACGTTTTTGTGGGCCTGGACACAACATTTGCACAGGCTAGTGCTAGTCAGTCTGTTTACTCAGGACTGATAATAACTCCTGGCAATAATCCCGCTAAAATGTATACAGAACAGAGTATGTGAGCGGAGTGGAGCGGCAACAATTTCCCTTCCGCGCTCCAAGCATTCAATAATCACTCCGCTCCAGCTCCGCTCCAGGTTCACCATTTCCCGCTCCCGCTCCACTCCTCGCTCCACTGATCAGAAACAAGTCAGTTAAAGCTGTCAAGCCAACTAATTATGTTTAATGCGTGAGTTGGCATAATTTGTGCTCATGACGGAGCGGTAGCGGAGCGTTCTCGGAGACTTTCCAAAAATCCGCTCCTAGCTCTAGGCAAAATCACGCCGCTCCACTCCTCGCTCCGCTCCCATACTCTGATACAGAATACATAATTAACACAAAATACATGAAGATAGTATAAATATAGATGACATTTGTTAAATAAAGCTAAAAGACAAACTAAATTGAATCTTATTTGCTTTATTTATAAAACTGCTTTTGAGAAGTCTACTAAGTAATATAAAGGCCCTGTTTACACTAGTGCATTTTCGTTTTAAACGGCGTTTTAATGCCGGGGTAATGTAAATGAAAGGCGTAACCATAGCAAAAGTTATGCGTTTTAAATTGAAAATGCACTAATGTAAACATAGCCTAAGTGTGACAGCTAAATCAAATTCTTAATTCAGTCCGCCAGAACACACCATGCTAACAGGGAATTCTCAAAACTTTGGCTAACGTTCTGGCAACATTCTCTCAAAGGTATGAACAAAGTCTTCCAGTAATGCTAATAGAATGTTACTTCAAAGTTATCTGTTCATTAACTCTTTCTCCACCAGAACTTTCTGGATTTCCGTGTTTTCACTGTTATATGGAAGAGGGCGCTATCACACATTTTCTGAAAGAGTCCAGAATCTCCAGATCAAAACACAGGCAAAGAAGCAGCAGAAACAAGCAATAGCATATGTAAGCAGATGCATATGTACAATGATGCGATCATCAAACATTAAAAAGCATATACATCAAAACTGCCTAAAGTTACTGAATGAAATGATTTGTTGTTGCTGTTTAAAATCAGAGGCTCTGTTGTTTCTTTTGCCAAATTGCATGTTCAAATATTCAAATAAAATATTCTGATGGCTATGAAAGTTTTGTGAAAACGATCAAAAATGCTGACGGTGGCTGGCAACTTTTAATAAAAACGCTGACAGAGAAAGAGTTAATAATGTTCTCAAATGATATACATCATGATATACATTATACATTATTCATGGAAAGTTTTTTTTGTTCTGAAGCGTTTTAGTTGGACACTAACATTTGATTTTTTTGTTTGTTTGTTCTATTTTTAAATCGTTTGAAAAACTGGATGTTTTGAACTTTTAAAAAACATTGAGAAATAATGTTTTTATAACTTAATGGTAATGTTAGCAAAACGTTCTTAAAACATGTTTTTGTTAGCTTGGCATCTACAACCTTGTCTGCTTTAAGTAGCACATCTTGATGTTTATATAAAAAAAGACTGTTTTTTGAGTTGAAATTTAAGTTATGCATGAATTTCAAGATATATTTAGCCAGTGAGAAGAGATTAGCGTGATATACTTCTGGTTAGCATACTATGCTACGGAATAACGTGCTAAGCACTGCTTCGTAGATTTATTAGGTGAATGGATCTTTTGACAATTTTACGATTAAACCTGCCAGCAAATTTGACCTGATGGATGCGCTAGATTTTTGTGGGCCTGGACGTAACATTTTGCGAGCACAGGCTAGCACTAGTCAATCTGTTTACTCAGAACTGATAATAATTCCTGGCAAAAGATAATTACAGATAATTACAATCGCACGTCTGGAAATGATCTCGAGGGGTCTCCAGTGCTAGCGCTGCATTGCTAATTCACTCAATAATCAATCAAGGGCTTTGGCTTTGACGTTTTACTGATTCATTGCCACCTCCTTTGCTACCCCTTGTAGTCTGCTGCCCCTGAAATATTTTTCTTAACCCCCACTTGCTTCCTCTATGCCAGACCGGTCTCTTTGGTATTATGTGAGCAGATGTGCGGAGTGTTTTTGGCTGACAGACAGACAGCATCTCTGGCTCCCACATCTATCATTCTCCCACAGCCTCCCATGCATGGGTTAGGACTGCCACCACAACAGGATTAATTCACATACTGCACTTAAACACTCTCAAAAAAGCGATCATTCACCATTTTTCTTTGCTTCACTTGGTCTAGTCCCTTCACAGTCCATTACGGCATTCAACAGGTTAATTGAAAAGAATCGGTTTAATGTAGTAGAATAAAAATATGATAAGCAAGTGTCCTAGATTTACAGTATTTGGTAACACTTTATTTTAAGGTGTCCTTGTTACACGTTACATGCACTTACTATTATAATAACAATTAATTATGCATAATTACATGCAAGTAACCCTAAGCCAAATCCTAACCTTAACCATTTAGTAAGTACATGTAGTTAATTATTATTCCTCAGTACCTAAATGTATAATTACACTGTAACAAGGACACCTTAAAATAAAGTGTAACCCAGTATTTCAAGTACTTGCTTGAGTACTTGGAATCAGGCTGGATCTATATAAACTACCCTTCAAATTAATACTTTTATTCAGCAAGTGTAACCCAGTATTTCAAGTACTTGGTTGAGTACTTGGAATCAGGCTGGATCTATATAAACTACCCTTCAAATTAATACTTTTATTCAGCAAGGAAGCATTAAATTGAACAAAAGAGACAGTAAAGACATTTATGACGTTACAAAAAAAACAAAAAAACACTGCTATAAATAATAATTGCTGCTCTTTTGCACTTGGAGTAATGGCTGCTGAAAATTCAGCTTTATCATCACAGGAATAAACAAACTTTTAAGTATATTCAAATAAAAAAAATATTTATTTCAGAATATTACTTTGTTTACTGTATATTTTTAAGCAAATAAATGAAGCCTTGGTGAGCATGTGAGATAAAAAAAAAATCTTACCAACCTACTATTATCCTTGAATAAATGAAACTATTTGTGTAGTAATATCCCACTTGAATTCACACCGAATACATAATTAACACACAATACATAACTGTATCCAGATATTTATATACTTAATACATAACCACATTGCATTATTTTCTGAGTTGAAAATGCAGCTAAGAATCACTTTCAAGATATATTTAACCAGCGAAAAGAGATGCGATCAGCAGCCAGTTTTTTCAGCCATGGCGACAGCTGAGGCGCTCTGTCCTGCCCTGGGACTTCCTTACTCCATCTCTCTCCATCCTGACACTCAAAATATTGGGAGGAGCTTTCTGGTGAATATTGCATGATGAAACATATCACTGAAGCCTGGGTAAATATCAACTCAAAACACAGACAGTATTCAGAGAAAGGGATTAATATATCTTGTGATAGAACAGAAGAAAGAGGGTAAACAAATCTTGTGAAAGTGATGATATAAAAAATAGGGGGGAAAATATTATTTCATTGAACTTGAGACTTTTTTGATCAAACTGATGATAATTTTTTAAAATCTAAAAACCCTAAAGATATATTCATATCTGTGCCCATTTATCAATGGTTATTATTATTAGCAATGTTGAAAACTGTTTTTGCTGCTTAGCATTACAGTGGAAATGGTGATACATTTTTTCAGGATCCTTTGATGAATAGAAAGTTCACAAGAACAGCATTTATTTGAAATATAAATCTTTTGTAACATTATAAATGCTGTTTTCCAAAATTAAAAAAAACTGTTTTTAAATTTGATAATAAAAAGATTGTTTTTCTTGAGCACCAAATTAGCATATTAGAATGATTTCTGAAGGATCGTGTGACACTGAAGCCTAGAGTAATGATGCTGAAAATTCAGCTTTGAATTTCCATAGATAGAACTTAAATGTAAGAACTTACTGGTAAGGGGAGGATTCAGAGTGAAATATCTTCAGTTTACAGCAGCTGCTGTTTCCAGTAAACAAAAAAAAGAGAAAACAAATAATTACAGATTATAAGGGTGTTGACAGCTGAATTAATTGCAGATGTTTAAACTGAGATGAAAGTGGCTGAAACTGGCCTAAATAAGGTAAAGAAATGCCTAGGGCAGTGGTCACCAACCTTTTTAGGCCCAAGATCCCTGACCTCGACCTTTATGAAAGACACGATCTACCTATTGAATTATTGATAGAAAAAGACATCCCAGATTGTACTTCAAATTTGAGGCCTTTTACTTAGTATGTTAATTAGTGATGCGCCGATCATAGCTGATTCAGAATTCAGATTTTCTTTTCTTTCTTTTTTTAACTAGCAAATTGAATTCTGATACTGATACTGATTTTTAAGCAAATTTATTTATTGGCAATTTGCTTTATAACAAACAAACTGGCTTTAAACAAAAATATCTAGCCATTTGAAATTAGAGGCAACCACTGCATTTTAATCATGATCTGCACGGGCAGTTGTTTTTGATTTGATTTAGATTAATTTCAGGATTTAAAACAAAAACAGAATGGTCTGACTTTAGGTGTTATTTATTTATTTGCTAC